ATAGTATACATATTGAAAAAGATAAATTAGTTCAATCGAGAGAATCCTATTATATCAAATATAATAGTGAATTAGTGGGAAATGACATAGGTCAATTCCATTCTGACTTCCCACCAGTGAATGGAAAAGAAAGTTGGGCAATTAAGTCTATCTTTCTAGGTAAGAAGTCTTACCTTGATGTCCTCACCAATGAAGATGGGGACATTGATTATTTGATAAGAATGAAAGGAATCCCTAAGGATGTAATCATTGGCACAGCCAATGAGAAGTTCAAAAGGGATGTGATTGCCTTATATGAATATTTATATGCAGGCAATCCTATACCTTTGACTTATCAAAGTATGGTCCTCACTTTGTTATAGAAAGGGACTTTAAGGTAAAGACTCTTGAAGAGTTTAAAAGAACAGTTAAATTCTAATGACCTCTCAATTATTAATTGATTCTTCTTTTTCTTTATTTTGTTAATTTTTGTTGTTCAAAAGGAGATAATGATGATAAATTATAATGATTTGTATTATCTTTATTTAAAATAACATCATTATAAAGTGTTTTTCCATAATTTTTAATAACATCTTTTATTTTCTTTCCTTCACTTATTTCTGTAAGTGTTTTTCCATTTGTTTCATACCATTTAGGGAGTCTATCAAGTACCATTTCAATCATTTGTCCACCAGGTATTATTGATGTTATTGTTTTTGATATTGGTAGTATTTTAGATACTACTGTACTTGTTGTTTTAGATAATTTACCTCCTATTCCTGCTATTTTCTTTCCAACAGTTTTATTCTATCATTTTTGGTTCTTGTTCTACATATAATTTCTTTTTAGGGTTAATACAACAGTTCAGTCATTCTTTCGAAGTACCTAAATCAGAATAATAGTAATAATAAATAAACTCCTCAGCAGATATATTTTCCAAGAGATTGTTTTCACTCTCTCATTTGCACTAAAACAATTCATATGATGTGTGAGTATATCAAGGGTATACTCATTAAATACAAAAATAGTATTATTCCTATCAGTTTACTTAACTTTTCTTTGGACATGCTCTACTCAATCTGTTCATTATGAATAAAATCCATATCATGCGGATATTGAAAATTAAAATATTTGTGACAATAAGTTCAACCTCATATCTTTTACTATATTAATATTATATAATTACTATAAATTACAATAAAAGAATGATTAATTTAATGAATAACAAAATATTTTTGTTTATTTTTTGTCATTCTATCCTCTGTTTTTTTTGTCATAAAATTGAATTGAATTCTTCCCATCCACTTCGTTACGGTGAGCCTCATCTTCATGATTTAAATTTTAAGATAAAAAGAGGATATCATTCATTATGAAGAACGCTATTATGTATTGTATCTTCGTTACTGTTATATGTTCCTTGCATTTATTGTATTAATTACATTAATATCGTAAGTATTTATTTATCTGGTTAATCTATATCGAAATTCATTAGAGCATTCCTCAATATTTTAGAAATTTCATAATAAATTTCTCTATGATGATGAAGATGCAATCAGCATTTTCATCATATATTATGATTTATAATCATGAGAAAACGATTAAGTATAATACTCTAATTATGATATAGGTATATTTATGTTAATTATATATAGTGAAGTACTGTATAAAGTATATTAGATATTCTATCATTATATAATTAATGGATATAATAAGATATATTATATATAGTATATGTATATATACAATGAAGTGTTCCATATTCATGAATACTTGAGATAGTATACAACGTATATCTTTCTTAAAAGAATTTAAACCGAAAAATAAATTAAATTAATTAAAGTTGCTATCCAAGTTAAATAAGAAAGAATAATTAATCTCTATTCTTTTTAGGCTTAGTCTCTTTCCTTTATTTTCTGTCATAAATGACATCCTTTATTTGGTTAAAAAACCTTTGTCAGTAATTTCATTACTGGAGGTATCCTCTATAAATTTTACTGAATCATTACTTGTTTCTTCATCATCTATTTCTTCCATTATTTTATCTACTACTTCTTGCATGAATTGAATTCCTTTCTCTTCTTCTTTCCTTAAACTCTCTTATTTTAATCTCTAGCTTTAAATTCTTTTTCTTTCTCTTATTTTCTGTAAATTTCTAATCAACTCTTGTCCCCTATTTTCATCTATTGTTTTTGGACTATAGGTTGGATTTGTAGAATATATATATATTGAACCTTAATTTATTTACTAATTTATAAACTAATTTCCAATAAGCTACTCTAAGTTCATCAGATAATAATTCATCTTCTTCTTGAATTATCGCTTTAGTAATTTGTTTTAATGTCTCCATTCCTTTAATCTTATTCATTCTCCATCGAGGAGTTTTACTTACTTTTTTAACATAACCATCTAATGTGGTACTCATTGAATATGATAGAACGATAAATTAGTGTTTAAATATTTAATTAAAATTATCTCTTTTTATGCTGAGTTCGAACATAATTAATTCCTCTTTCTATTTTGAAAGACTTTTATTTATTTATACTTGATTAGTTGTTTATTAAGTCAGAAAGTTCTTCATCTTCTTCATTATCTTCATTGGATATTTCTATTTCCTTACACTTTGGGTAGTAATATATTTATTTCCATCTCTTTCTATAATTTTATTTTTATTAATGTCGAAGAATCTCTTTTTTACTTCTTCATCTTTGGTCATTCGTCTTTTTATTGGTTCTTCTGATAATTGGTTATCTTCTATAACTATCGGAGGCGCTTGTTATACTTCTTCTAATGTATTACTTAATGTTCATTGTATTATTTTCCAATTCTTCTTCATTCTCTAAGAGAATTTCAACTAATTTTGGATCTAAACTGACATATTTATTTTTATCTTTTAGTAATTTAACTTTTGGATTGGGTCCTTGAATGGTTTCTCTTTTGTTTTTAATACGTCAGAGTTCTTTTCTAACCAATCAAAATCTTCATAATCTTTGGCCATCAGTTGAAGTGCTTTCCAACTACCTGGTTTGAGTACTAATATTGGTGGTATCGATGTTATTCTAGCTTTGAATATTTAATAGTAATAGTAATTTGTTCAACTCTATAATTAATGATTAAATTTGGCCTGTCATATCATTAGGTTAGCACCATCAAATAATCTAATATCATATTTTATATCTTCATTATGTCCATTAGGGATGAGGAGTCATCTAAATTCATCGACTTTGAAACCTTTTAGTAAATCATTTATGAAGTCTGTATTACCCATTTATACACTAACATAACTAAAGTTTTTATTCTTTTAATTTTCCATTTAAAGCATATTAAACCAAATTCTACTATTTTTACAACCGGGTTATCTTCTATTCATGTTTTTAATTTAATTTTAATTCTATTATAAGTGTCTATACAATGTTCTTGAATACACATAGAATCAATTTTGGATATTATTAATATAACCTTTTACACTATATTTTTTAAATAAGCATGTACCTCATCTAAATCATTTAGTCTAAGCACCTTTCTTAATCTAAGTCTCATAATCTGCATCTATTACTGTTTATTTTACCTTCTTCGAATATCGCTCCACTATCTGGATGTCCTTCTTCCTGATTTTTTAGATATCCAATATCCTTTATATGAACCATCATAATTTTTATTTTCTGTTACCTTTTTGAAGTGGAATAGAAGTTGCTCATCATTAAACTGAACCAGAGGTCTTTTTCTTACATGATCAATACTGTCGAGTTCAAAAAATACGTTTGTACGTCTATTTTTCCCCTCACCCTTGTCGTCTTACTAATCTACATTTAATTAGAGATTTTTTCTTTTACTGCTACGCCACTGTTCTGTTAAGGTCCCAATCACTTTCTTATTTGGTGGGTAATCATCTTTTACATTAATTGTAACAAAGCCGTGCATGTCCTTAAATTCATAGTAGCAACTCTTATTTTGTGACATTAAATTTGGATAAATTATTCTAACTATTTCCTCCTTTTGTTTTAACTAGAACCTCATTTTTTATCTGTCAAATTGTCTCTTTTAAATTATTTAATTAATTTAATTATATATTTTCTTGTTTGTCTGTCTTACTGTATTACAGGTAACCTCTTCGATTTATTAGAGTTAAACCTTTTTTACTTTAGATAATTCACAATCTTTTATCAGTCCTCCTTGAAGAAATCAACGAAACATGTAATGTTTTTCTTGATAATGACAAGTTGGATTTCGATACTAATACTTTATTTACTCGATTATTTATTTTATATGACAATTTGGAGAAATTCATCATATTTATAATGACACTTCATATTTTTACATTATATGTTTATTTGAGTCATATAAAGACAATGGGCAATTAAATGGACTCAATGAACTCATTGTAGACTTTAAAGACTCTTATTTTACTAATGATTAACTAATCATGAATTTTTATTTAATTTTATTAATTAAACAAAGTAATAATAATAAAGAGAACTCAATTAATTATTTTCTTTAGGTAATTTAGACTTCTGCTCTAAATCTTTATAACCTCTAATCTTCTCTTGTTCTCTTTCATAAAATTTTTTTATCGAAAGCTAACATTATTTCATTAAATTTTTCTCTAATACTTGATGTAATTTCATATAATACAACCATCACTCTTAATTCATATTCTATACTCAATTAAATTTTTCATCATCAAATAATATTTTGTTCTCTCTTAAAGCATTCTATGAAATCTAGTAAAATCCTTTAGAACGTCGAACTCATTAAAGTAATCTTTTAAATAATAATATTAATAGTCTCAAACTTGTATTATCAATTCTATATTCATTATCCGTCATTGTTGTATATCACTCCATTCTCACCTATTTAAATACCAAGATTTAATAAACATCTAATTAGACAACCAAACAATAAGATAGACAAAAGAGACAATTTCTAAATTTATTAAATTAAACTTTTATTATACTTATAGTTTGACAAACAATTTTATTACCTCATAGAGACAGTTAATGTGTTTCTTAAACATTCTTACCAATGTAAGTAGCATTCAATGGACAATATATTAGAAGACCATACTCAAGAAATCATCAGATGATATAATTGAACAAACTAAAATCTATTTACAAACAATCACTGAAGACACTAATAGAGTAACATTATATGCACTATTATTTAGGTTAGGTCATACTATTGTTTTCTTAATCCATGACAAGAGGTTACATATTATGTTAAATCTTTATTTGATATTACTGATAATGTACCCATTCAACTATATTATTATCTGTATTTCATATTATCTATAGCAAACGATATATGGATGACATTAATCAATCTAACTGAATGATTTTTATTCTTTGTGTTTAAATAACAAATTATTTTTAGAAAAAATAACAAAAATTAAATTAAATAACATTTTCTAAAAATAAAATTAAACTTAAATAAATTCAATTAATTGAATTATAATAATTCCATCTTTCTTCTAGTTGGTTTTGTCTTTCTTTTACTTTATTTACTAATTCTTTATCTTTATTTTCTTCTTTTAAACGACTTATAATAAGTCAGTTCTTCTTTTGAAACTTCTTTATTCCTTTTTAAGTGTATCTATTACTTCTAAATGAGTATTAAGCGTTTTACTAAGAGTGGTTAAAGGTTGTCTCCAAAGGACATACTTACTCCACCGCCTAAAATATACACAGATTCTGTTAATTTTATAACGTCTTTTAATAAATTACTAACATCCTTTAATGTAACATTTTCTTCTTCTAATAATGTCTCTTCTTCAAATATATCAGATATTCTATTGGATGGTGTTCCGTACATCTCTTAATGGTAAACCATATCTAGATGGTAGTGTTATTAAATGTTAGTATAGTTTATTATTAAACTAATAATTTACTTTATGTTGATCAACTCAACAGATTATGTTTAATTCCATTGAATTCCAGAATTCATACGTGAATTAGACTATAAAATATGTGAACAATAAGTAATATAGTAAATTTTTTGTAACTGCTGATGTTACAATCACAGTCTAATGATATCATGATCAGTTATCATAAATACATCTAATTATAATTAATTAATATAAATTTTTAAGACCTTGTAATCACTACACCCACTATTTTAATCATAAAGGGCAACACACTCACTCTCCCATTCGCTGTGCTACTGTGACCCTGTTCGTTTAGGTGCATTTACAACTAAAAGGTGATGTCGTTCTCTTATAGTCTATTCAATAAGACCTATCTAACACAAGGCCTTGGCCTATATATAAACTGAATATAATGAATGGTATGTTAAATATAAAAGTATTATTTATTTCATTTATTTATTATTTATATTTTGTATTTTTATTATTTTCTTTTAATTTATGTTAATTAATCATTATTAATCATTTCTTATTTGTATCTTTGTGTTTTATTTCTATTTTGATTATTTAATTCGTATGTTTTAATTTATGATTTAATCAATTTGAAGTTATATTTTATTATTTAAATATTTAAACACTTCTATTTTCTTATTTATTATTCTTTATATTTCATTTATATTCTTATTTATCATTATTATATTCATTTAATAATAAATATGTTGAAATATAATTATATTAATTTATATTATCATTTCTATTATGATTTTTGATTTCTATTGATATTTTGATTATTGTTGTTAATTGTTTATTCTTCTTTTCTTTATGTTTTATCATTCTTTTATCACTTTTTATTTCTTTATGTTTTGTATGTTCTCTTTTATCTTTCTTCTTATTTATTCTTTTTCTATTTATCTTTTATCTCTTATTCTAATATTCACTTCTCTTCTTATTTTGTTTTCTCTTTTATCTCTGTTTCTTTGTTTCTTATTGATGTTTTGTACTAATACACCCATCTTTCTCTTCATCATATTCTTCAATAGAACCATTTCGAATGAGTGATTTTGTGTATCTCCGATTTCTTTTTTATCTTGTCATTTTTGTTTTCTATTTACCAGTTCGTTCATTATAAGATGAAAGAAAGATGAATAAATCACAGAATGATAAGAATGCACATGTGATGATGATGACATTCTTATTTTAATTATGTAAAGATGGTTTTGGTAGTTCATTTGTTATTTAAACATCTCATCATCACAATCTCATCATTTCAAACAGTTAAATGTCCTGTAATCAACAAAAAGAATGTTGTAAGAAAGAATGTCAAGAGAAAGAATGTTGTAAAGAGTATTGTTGTAAAGAGTATTGTAAGAAAGAATGTTGTTGTCCAAGAATTAAAGCATTTAAGAAATTTATGAATACATTTGAAAAAGCACAAATTGGAAAAGAAGCACCAGAATTTAAAGCACAAGCATATTGTCCATGTGGTTCAATCAAAGAAATTGATATTAATGAATATAAAGGGAAATATGTTGTGTTATTATTTTATCCATTGGATTGGACATTTGTTTGTCCAACAGAAATGATTGGATATAGTGAAGTTGCAGGACAATTGAAAGAAATCAATTGTGAAGTTATTGGAGTGAGTGTTGATTCAGTTTATTGTCATCAAGCATGGTGTGAAGCAGATAAAAGTAAAGGAGGAGTAGGAAAATTAGGATTCCCATTAGTATCAGATATTAAAAGATGTATTTCAATTAAATATGGAATGTTAAATGTAGAAACAGGAGTTTCAAGAAGAGGATATGTCATTATTGATGATAAAGGAAAAGTAAGATACATTCAAATGAATGATGATGGAATTGGAAGATCAACAGAAGAAACTATTAGAATAGTTAAAGCAATTCAATTTAGTGATAAACATGGAGCAGTTTGTCCAATCAATTGGAAAGCAGGGAAAGATACAATTGAACCAACACCAGAAGGAATCAAGAAATATTTAACAACACATTAAAATAAACAAGATATTTTAACAAATTTTATTATTAAGAAGAAAATGATAATAAACATATAAAATAAAGAATAAACATAATAATTTAATAAATGAATAGAATAAATAATAAATAATATAAGTAGATAAATTGAAATAAAATGATAAAATGAATATAAAATATATTTTATTTTTACAAAATGTAATTATATAGAATTGAAATAGAAGAATAAGAATATTAGAAATAATAATTAGAATTGAAATTGATAAAATATCAAATAGAAATTAAACAAACAAAAATAAAATGATAAACATTTAATTAACAAATAATAAGTAGATATGATAAACAATTAAAACAATAAATCAATTCAATAATCAATAAATGAAAAAAAAATAGAAATGAAATGGTTCACCTAAATTAGTAAAATATCAAAACTACAAAAGAAAATAAAATTAATGAGAAATATGATTGTTTTATATTCATCAACATATACACAAAATATTGTTTCTATTAAAATTAATATTTCTATCAACTATTTCATGGTATGCTTCAAATAATTAAAAAATACTAAAAAGAATTTATTTGAAATAATTTATAATTATCCATATTCTAACCAATAGATAAAACTATATCAACGATATCTAAATAATTTCAATAATCTTATATAAATATATTGTTACATTATGTAATACAATAACTTCATTTTTTGGTGAATTATCTATTCACTATAAATACAATATCTCATCTTAAAAATTATGATAAATAATATAAATATTAAATAGATAATTAACATATGAAGAATAATAAATATAACCAGTGTTAAATCAATACATTGTATATATTATAACACTACTAATTTAAATATTACACATTGAGATAATTGAAAAAATAAAATAAACAGAATATAAAAATGATGAAAAAGATTTATGATTACGAGAATTTAAATAGTTAAAAAATATCTAATGATTATACTAATTTAATAACTGGTGTGATATAAATTTTATAAAATTATTATAAATTAGTTACTTTTGATTAGAGTCTAAATTTAAATATTTTGAAGTTAAAGAAGTGAAAACAAATACAGAATGTTTGGTTATTATAGTTTGTATTATTAGAAATAAAAATAAAAAAATTTTGTAGAAATAATTGATTGTTGAAAAGAAGAAAATAAATGATAATGAAAAGATATATCAAAAAATACTAATCATAAAGCAAATGAATATTTTTTACACCACAATTTCAATAGAATGAAGTCAATAATGAAAATTGATTTAAGAAAAATGGATAGAGTTGATAATAATATAATAAAAAGATGGAAAAAGAATGAACAAAGTGTTAATTAGATTATATGATAATAAAAAGAAATTAAGACATAGAATAAGAAGTAAGAAAAATCAATACCAATTGAATTAATAATGTTGGTTCGTATTTTATAAAGAAAGATAAAAAAAAAAAAATGAACAAGTGATATAATACTATTAAAAGAGAATATAAAAGAATATAGAGTAGAATTTGTAAATAGTTAAGAGAACTGATAAGAGAATAAGTTGAAAAGAATATTTAAAGAAGAAAGAGTGTTAAAAAAATACTTGAAAGAGTACTTATTAAAAGATGATGTTGACTATTACATGGTATTAAAAAATAAAAGTTTTGATTTAAAAATGATAAAACTGTTTTTTGAAGATATTTCCTCTAAATAAGAAAATGAAGAATGAAAACGTTTTTTAATGTTAATAAATGAAACAATTGTTTATTTCTGATGAAATTTTTTTAAAGAAGTTAAGATATAAAAATAGAGACTTTGAATATATTTATCTCTCTTACAAATTAAAAGTATTGAATTAGAAATCTAAAAAAAAAGAAACCTTCAGTTAGTTTTTTTACTAATTAAAATATTTAGTTAGTTGTAGTTAATTATTCAGTCTTCTTATTTTCTTTTTTTGCTGATTTGCTTTTCAAGAATTGTAAGAAGGACTGAGCATTTTCTGATTTAATAGTAAGTGGTAAATGAGGTGGAACACCATTGAAAGTAATAACATCTGATGTTGCTTTTTTCATTGAGACTTTCTTTAATAATACCAATGGAATTTTTTTAATTAATTGATACTTTCCATCAATTTCATTAATCAAAATCATCTCTCTATTGGTTACAATAATAATAACACTTTCGTTCTTATCACCAATAATTTCACCACTTATATGAAATTCTGTTTTCATTAACTCTTCATAATAATCACTCTCTTCCTTATTACCCTCAACCCTCTTTTCTTCTTTTTGAACTTGAGTAGTTTCTTGTTTAGGTTGAATTACCTCTTTTGTTTCTGTTTTTATACTTTCTTGTTGGATATCTTTTACGTCTTTTACATCACTACTGTCTTTGACTGTCATAGAGGCAACAGCTGTTCCAAACCAACCTTTAGCAAACTCAAATGCTTTTGTTCCAACACTCTCGGTAGCTCTAATCAAATTGTTAACTCCTTCTACTCCTTGTTTTCTACAAATACTACAATTTGTAAGCGAATGGTTTTCTACAGGGAATCCTTTTTCATTATCAAATAAATAATGATATCCAGTAAATCCATTATGCAACTCTGAAACATGTCTGAATCCATTTTTTATTAACCAAATCATTATTTGTTGAATTTGTTCTATAGTATCTCTATGGTCAGTATTTCCAAATACAACTATGTGGGTGTTACTTTTCTTAAGACTTTCAATATCTTTGATAAATTTCTCAATATTTTCGGGTTCACTTTGAATTGAGCTAGCATCAATATTGATGGCTCCTGGAATAGTTCCACTAAGGTACATCTCTCTCTTTCTTCCATCAATAAGAAATAGTGAAAATCCTCTATTATTTTTATCAGCAAAAATATCTTTTGGAGATACAATAGCAACATTTCCTGTGGTAATGGTTGAATAAACCCATCTCTGGTATTGAGGAGAATTCGTAATACAAGCAAATAATTGTTTGGTTATTGAAATTGGTGTATTACTGACAAGAGCCTTAGCAAACCCAACTACTTTCTTTATTTCATCTTCTGGAATTTTAGAATTAATTCCACTAATAACTGCTTCAGCTGAAGGAGCTTTTAATAAAACATCTTTTAACAAAATAACATGTGAAATTAATACATAAAAATGAAGCATTTGATCAGAAGAGAGTAATAACTGATCGATTAATTGTAACTTTCCTTGGACTGATTCTATTAATGGGAGACATAACATACAGATTTCATTAACTACAAATTTTTTTAAATCAACTTTTACTTCTGTAAATTTCTTAATTAATTCTGGACAATGGTATTGAATAATCATATTGAAGATAACACATATCCCTTCAACAACTTCTTTGTTTTCTTTTTTAATTAATGGAATGTACAAATTGACAATTTTATCAACAAGTGAACAAATTTTATCTGTTTCTAAGTCAAGTGATAACAATGGCAAAGCTACTTGTGCAAGTGCTGTTTTATCTCCTTGAAGATTACCAATTATAAGAGCAAGGCTTTTCATAATCTCAGAAAGGTTCGATGAAAAAACTGGAGTATAGAAAGGAAGAAATTCGTCTACTTCTTCAACCTTTTCCATATTTAGTTTTATTCCTTCTCTTATACCTAATAACAATGGATAAATTTCTTTTCTTTGATTTGCTTGTATCCCAATAATTCTTGTCATTTCTTTAACAGTAAATATGTCTTTGATTTCAATAGCATTTTTGATGAGTTCTTCAATTGGTGTTGTCATATGATCTAAATATTTTGATCTTTTTTCTTTTTTTTTCTTCTTTGATTTTTCATTTAAATAATTGTTATATAAAACAAAAATAAAAATTTAAAGAATTTTTTTTTTGATATATTTAAACAAATTTACAATAAAATAATAACAACAAAAACAGTTAACTACTTTCTTTTTTATGAACTTAAATTTTAATGATAAAGTGTTTTATTTGTATGATATTAGGAGATAACACTTGTTCTTACTAATGATTGAAAAACTATTTTTGAGTTAGAACCCTTTCTAGTCAAACTGATTTGAATTTAATTTTAATTACTATTATATTTCTAATGACACTTTTGATAAATTCATTTATCTACTCTTAAATAATATAATTATGAAAATAATACTTTTCTTATAAATTACTTATCAAAAATAATCTCATCAATACTCTAAATAAACAAATTCTCATACTTGTTATTTATATTTCTATAAAGAAGATAAAAAATAAAAAAATAGTGAAATATGATAAATAAAGAACTAGTTCAGAATAATACTTGTTATCAAAAAAGAATATTAATTTATTAAAAAAAAAAACATCAATTAAAAGTTCTTACGGTAATTCACTTCACAACCACACCGTTTCCATTTTTGTTGATTTACTTGCCTTTCTAATTTTGTTATTTTTTCCTCTGGACTATCAATGTCTTCATTAGGAGGAGTTGGAATAACATCATCATAGTCTATAGTTTGCCTTTTTTTAATTCCCATACGACGAAGAAGTTTTCTTTCTTCTTTTCTGAGAAGAGGGATATTGCTGTTCATATCACCATAGATATCATCGATTGAATGAATTCCCATCATTTTATTTTGTTTGTGGTAGAGTTCAACAAGTTTATTAACTTGTTGAATTGGATCAACTGAATATTTCATTTTATTATATATCTTTCTTAGTTGTTTTCTTTTAAAGAAGTGATCTGAAACCATTATTTTTAATTCTCTAATCCTTTTATTCATTTTAATATCTTTTTCTTCACTTTCTCTTTTAGCAAAAACGTAGTCTAACTTATCTCTTAATTTTCTTATTTTTTTAATTTCCTTCTCTCTTTCTTCTTGTTTTGTTGTTCTTCTAATCTTTTTTTGATTATACTCCCTTTTAATTTCACTTAAAATCTTTTTTCTAGCTCGTTCTTTGATAATTATTTGTCTTTTCATTTCTTGTGCAATTTCTTTATCTAACCTTCTTTCAATCTCACTCTTTCTAACTTGGGTTATCTTTTTATTTTTCTTCTCGTTTACACTGTTTTTTATTATTTCTTCTTTTTTACTTTTTCTTTGTGCTTTTGTTAATAATTTAGGTTTACTTCCTTCATGATTAGGTCCTACACGGACTTGAGAGTTGGTTAATTTATCTGTTTCATTTTCACTAATACTATTAATATAATTATTACCTTTCCTGTTATCACCACCTTGTGTTAGTTTTTCGTGCCTATGAAGTAATCGTTTGATAATCTCTTGTTTTATTTTATCTCCTGAACTTTCTCCTCCAAGTATTTTTTTCATTGCCTTTGCAATATCTTCCTTCCAAGTTTTTCTTTTTTCTTTTGAATATTCTCCACTAAGTTGTTTCTTATAAACTTCACCAGCTTGATTAATAAAATTATCTCTGTAACTTTTATCATCAATTAGTTTTGACATCTTAATTTTTGATGTTAACTCATTGGCAAGCTCTTTATTTTTTGATTCTTTTGCATTTTTTAATGCTGCTTCAAGAATTTGTGTTGGTCCCATACTTTTTCTTCGTTTCTGTACATTTGTAGGAGAGTAGGTTGTATTCCATTTTGCTAACATCTTTTCTTTAAAATCTGGTTGTGTATAAGAATTATTTTCAAGATTTAAGCCATGTTCTAAAATATCTCTTTCATTATCATCAAATACTTTTGATATAGAATGTTCCACTTTAGCTTGAACTGATGGACTAAATTTACGTGTTCTTTTTTTGACAATATCTTTTAGTGTATTAATTGCATTATCTTGTTGTGTGGTATTACATTTAAACCCTCTAAAATGAAGATACCCTTCCCAAAGGTCAATAAAAACTTCATTCGCAACTTTAGCTTTATCAATAAGTTCATTCCAATTCTTTAATGCCGGAGAAGATTTGATAATGTCTTCTATTTGCTTTCTGTCTCCTTTACAAGCCAACAAAGATTTTT